GGGTCCGCGCAGGGCTGCGCACCCCCGCCCGTGTTCGCTCGCGTGTGCTAGGACTGGGTCGTCCTGCGGCGGGGACGCCCCGACTCCCCGCGGCCGTGCTGGTGAGTAGAGCCGGCGGGCGCTCGCTTTTCTTCCATAAGGACCCAGCTCAGACTGGCCCATCTGGGGCGGGAACGCAGGCGGAGGCCACGCTCAGCCCGGGGGCAGAGACCCCGGCAGGCAGCCCTGCACACCGGGTCCCGGGAGCGCGCCAGGCCGGGACTTGCCCGCGTCCCCGGCCCTGCCACGCAGGCGGTGCGCGGGGAACACACGGCACCCGCCACCCTGCCGACAGCCGGCTGGCAGGAGCGTGCCCCGCGCAGGGTACGCCGGCCCCGTGCTCTGCAGTGATGAAGAGGCTGTAAAAAGTAGAGGCACAGAATGCGTCGAACGATTTTAGAAGGTGTCTGGAAAAGTCCAGTGACAGGCACAAACGAAAATGGGAGCCACAATGCACATGACATAGGGCTAGGGATTCCAGGTTTTTTTTTGGGGGGGGCGGGGGGGTAAGGGTAAGGGTAAGGGAAAGGCTGTTGCCTCTGACCCTCCCACATGCTCTTGAGCGTTCTGTAGGTTCTTGGAGTGTGCTCAGAGGGTAAGGTACCTCCACTGCTCCAAACAAGCGCGATAGTCAAGAAGTACTTAGATGAAATACAAAACCTGGGAGGTGAAAACAGCGGGAGACTTGGTCTCCCCTTGGAGATGAGATGTGTGAGGGAGAGTCCTAATATGGACTGATAACGGCTGATCAGGGCTGCTGACCTCTCTCCCTTCTCCCCAAGCATCATTACTCCTCCAAGCCCTCGGGAGCTGATTCTAGTGTAAAATGAAGAAGATGAAATGAGAGGTCCTTGGCACACCCCAGCACACCAGCTGGTATTGGGTGGATGCGGGAAAAGTGGTCGTTCTCTGCTTTTGCCTCCATTCGGGGTTCATGTCCTGTAGCCTATCTGCTTCCTAAGCCATATGTACTCCTTGCTCTGTACCAAAAGATACCATGCATCCTCAGAGATCTCTCTCCTCTCCTTGCAGGCCCTCCGTTATCTCGTCAGATGATTATATTAATACCTACTGGTATTAAGAGCCTCAGGGGCTGGGGACAAGGGCATGGCAGACGTTTCCGTGAAGTACAAAGCTCTGTACAAGCCTAAGGTAATACCAGTGTTGTTGGGTGTTCAGTTGATGGGCATTGGGGATGACTCAGCCAAATCTGCTCTTGAAGGCCCCTCCCTCCGTTTACCTTACTCATCTGGGGAACCTGTGCTCCTTTCCCACCCACTCCATTCTTTCCTGTCCTCAGGAAGAGCAGCCCTTCCCTCCTCTGTTCTGAGTGTGGGGGAGTCACCATGTATGTCTCCTCCTGTTGTCCTGTTGAGGACTTCGAGCTGAGCCCTGTGGGTGGGAAGAGCTGCTCAGGGAGGAGATGGCCATTTGCAGCATGAGCCACAGATCAAGAGACACCCCTCCCAATTCATCAGCAGGTCTGTGGGTTCTACCTCCAAAATAAGTGTCAAAGTTGTCCATGTCTCTCTCTTATTTTACTGCTACCACTGCCATACTGTGCTTCGAAGACAGCTTTAGTCTCTTAACCTGTTCCACAGAGCAGCCTGAGGAAGCTCTACAATAGAAATCTCACCATGTCAGCCTTCTGCTTCAAACCTTGAAAAGGCTTCTCTTGCCAGTTAGCAAGACGTTGTGTGTTCTGGCCTGACCTGTTTCTCTACCTCTTCTCATCTCTCGCTGTCCCTTGCTCTCTGCACTCCAGCTACTGTGGCCATCTTGCTGTTTCTCCTTCTTGCCTCAGGGCCTTTGCATGTACTGTTCCTTTTACCTGGAATGCTCTTTGCTTTTCAAGGTACTGGCTGCTTCTCGGCCTTCAGGTCTCAGTAAATGATGCCTCCTCAGTGAGACTTCATTTATTCCTTCCCAGCACTTATGACCCATCTGTCAGTGGCTTGTTGTTTATCTGTTGTCTGCCCCCCATAGACCACGTGCACTGTGAGGGCAGCGGTTCCTTGCCCACTGCTGTGTCCCAGTGTTATGAGCAGGCCAGTGAGGCAGGAAGGGAGTGTTCTTGCTCTTTGGAGTCAGGACTTTGAGAAGATGATGCGTGATCCTCAGTGGAGAGTGCAAAGGTGGCGCCTCCAGATGGCAGCAGCCTGGCCGAGCTAGCCTGTGTGAGCCCGTGTCAGCTAGACAGCCACGCGCCATGCTTTTTCTGAGTCCATTTCTCTTTTAAGTCTTCCCGAGACTTCAGTCAAGTCTTATTTGAATCAGTTATCCTGGTCTCAGCTGTACTGCAGGGATGACTAGAGTGTCCTCATTTGAGCTCTGGTGTGAAAAAGGGATCCATATTTCTTAAGACCATAGAGTGATGGCAGCTGAAATTAATGCTTACCACCCAAGCTTCAGGGGGCTTTGGGGGACAGAAGTTGGTGCAGTGAGACTTAGCGGCTTCGTCCCTCACCAGGGGAAGTTTCTTTCCCCATAAAACTTATAGGCTCCATTTCTGATACTATTAAGAGAGAGAGCAGATTTTGATTCTCTTACCATCACATAGTAGGTTTATAATTATAAATAATTACATGTATCTGTGTGTATATATATATATATATATATACACACACACATATGAATTAACAGTGATACAATGTCTTTATCAGAAAGGTCAGCACAGAAGGACCAGTGTTTCTTGAGGCTGGGTCAGTGCTGTGGAAACAGGAGCTGCAATGCAACTGCACATGTAGAAACAGACATGGAATGGGACTGAAGGTGGTCGAAGCCTAGAGATCGGCTTCTGTCCAGCCTCTCCTTACTAACCCTGGACTTCAGTTTCTACAACAGTGTTGGATGGAAAGAAGCTTAAAGCCAGAGAAATCTGGGTTCAAATCCTGGTTTTGTCTCTTACAACTTGTGACCTTGGGCAAATGATTTAACCTTCTTGAGTCTGTCTTTCCTCACCCATCAAATAACAATATTAACAACTATTTTTGCAGGATTATTGTGAACACTAAATGAAGTGATATGTAAATATGCAACAGTGTCTAGCAATGTCTGAAATATTAGCTACTATTTATTAAGCATATATTAAGTGTTAATTACTTTGCATATATTATTGTACTTCCACAAAAACTTTTACTGATAGGTACTATTATTAGCCCCATTTTTCAGTTGAAAATAACAAGCTCTGAATAATCCAAGGCCACACACCTAGGTGAATTGGTTCCACTGCTCACCACCATGCTTTGAGCCCCTGTGTAACTGTTAATTCCCTTCCTCACCATTTTGAAGATTCTCCAGACAGTTATTGCTGGAATATCATTAGTGTCCTTGGTAAGTGAGCCTACTTTGTGCAGAGCATAATGCTAGCTGTGGGGGAGATAATGAGGAAGTGTAAGCGATGGATCTTGATATCAAGTAACTATGACATGAGCTCAGTTATCCAACTTATCTCCTCTAAGACTCTCATGAAATGACCAATGGGTTATAAGCATGGGGAATATTGAGATCGACTTCAGGCAAGACAATATGGCAAGCTCCACTGACCCACTCCCCAGTGAAATTGGTGAGAATTATTTACAAATAACCATTTAAAACCTCTGGAAATGGTCCTAAGGGCAAACAGAAAATAAAGAAACATCTATTTGTGAAAATTCAGTAGGAATGGTGAGAGTCTGTGGTATCCGAACCAAGACCACTCCTTCTCCCTGCTTCCTTATTTGGCGAGGCAGAGATTCTACTCCAGATGGCTGATGCCAAGTCATAGGGCTCCCTCTCTCTGCAGCTCCCAGTTGGAGAGCTTACTTCCCTGGAGGAGCAGTTTTTCTCAACCTGTCCCAAAATTCCTGTTGCCAAGGCGAAGTCCTGGGTGAGAATGGTTGAGCGGTGGGGGATCCCTTCTTTAACACAGTGAGAATATTGGGGCTTCGATAGCCTTTCTCCCTGCTCATAAGGCTGTGATTCCATGCCAGGAGAGGCAAGCTGAAGGGATTGCAGGCTACTGCACTCTCCTTCACAGAGTGTCACTCAGAGAGAAGCCTGCCACTGCTCAAAGATTTTGCCTTGGGGCGAAATTTTGACTGTAGGCAGGCTGTAAAATAGATAGCTACTAAGCTCTTCCCAAAGGAACTGGCCTCATTTGTAATAGAGCATGGACAAGTTTAAACCCAGAGGTGCTCACAAGAACACCGGAGGTTGTGGAGAAAGGCATCTGGGAAGAGATTAATGGATCTAATCAAGATACAGCCTAGATTGTAACCCTGTTAGTTTGCAGGAAAGAACCAAAAATAAGACATTTTGGAGGAGCCCTCCTGCAATCAGAACAAATACCAAACACAGACTTTTGAAACTAGTCCTTCAAAGGAGCCAGAATCTGTTTGAATTAGTTGGTAGAGCAATTTATGCCCCAGGGCATTACTGAAAACAGTAGAGCAATTAGCTGCCAGTTACTGGAGTTAAACAGCTGAGTGTGGTCAGGGAGAGAGAAGAACAGAGCCCTACCAAACCACTGTCGTCCAAGGATGACCGTAGGCATACCCAAAGCTGCACCTCCTGAGGAGCAACACAGGCTTCACACTGTGGGAGAGGAAGCAGATTTCACTAAAATGACTCACCTGGTTACTAAACAAACAGCCAATAACAATAACAAGCCCAGAGTGGGGACCGTACTCTGAGTTGCTATAATATATTATCTAAAACATCCAGTTGCCAACCCAAAATTATGAGACATACAAAGAAACAAGAAAGTATGACCTATACACTGGGAAAAAAGCAGGCAAGAGAAACTGCCTGTGAGAGTGACCAGTTGTCAGATTTATCAGAAAAAGACTTCAAATTGTCATTATAAACAGGGTCACAGAACTAAAGGAAACCCTGATTAAAGAAGTGAAGGAAGGTGTGATGACACGGTGCATCAAATAGAGAACATCAATAAATAGAAATTATTTAAAAAGATTGAAATTCTGGAGTTAAAAAGTACAATAACTGAAATTACAAAATTCACTAGAGAGTCTCAACAGTAGGTTTGAACTGGCAGGAAAAAGAGTTAGCATACTTGAAGAGAGATTGAGAGAGATTATGCAAGCTGAAGAACAGAGAGAAAAAAAATAAAGAAAAATGAACAGAGCCTCAGAGAAATATGGGACACCATTAACTGCACCAACATGTGCAATGGGAGTACCAGAAGGAGAAGAGAGAAAGGAGAAGGAAAAAATACTCAAAGAAATAATGGCTGAAAACTTCCAAAATTTATTGAAAACAATAATCTACATATCTAGGAAGCTCAGCAAATTCCAAGTAGATAAATGGAAAGAGACCCACAAACAGACACTCATAGAAAGTCAAAGACAAGAAGAAAACC